AAGAGGAAGAAGAGGAAGAGGAAGAGGAGTAAGAGGAGGAGTTGGATGCGGAAAAGGAGGAGGATGAGGAGGAGGCAGAAGGAGGAGGAAGAAGAGGATAAGGAGGGGGAGGAGGAGGAGGAGGAGGAGGAGAAGGAGGAGGAGGAGGAGAAGGAGAAGCACGAGGAAGACGATGAGGAGGCGGAGGCGGAGGCGGAGGAAGAGGAGGCGGATGAGGATGAGGAGGAGGGGGAGGAGGAGGAAGGAGGAGGAGGAGGAGGAGGAAGAGGAGGAGGAAGAAGGAGGAGGAGGGTATGGGGAGGAAGAGGAGGAGGACGATGCAGAGGATGAGGAGGAGGAGGAAGAGGAGGCGGAGGAGAAAGTCGAGGATGACAGGGGAGGAGGGAGGAGGAGGAGGATGAGGGTGAGGAGGAGGAGAAGGCGGAGGAGAAGTAGGAGGAGGAGAAGGAGGATGAGGAGGCGGAGGAAGAGGAAGAGGAGGAGGAGGAAGAGGATGAGGCGGAGGAGGAGGATGAGGAGGAAAATGAGGGAGAATGAGAAGGATAATGAGGAGGAGAAGGAAGAGGATGATGATGAGACGGATAATGAGGAGGAGGAGGAGGAGGAGGGGGAGGCGGATGAGGAGGAGGAGGACGAGGAGGATGAGGAGGAGGAAGTCGAGGAGGAGAGGGGAGGAGGGATGCTGATGATGCTGCTGATGATGATGATGCTGACGATGATGATGATGATGAGGCGGAGGAGGAAGAGGAGGAGGAGGAGGAGGCGGAGGTGGAGGAGGAGGAGGCGGAGGAGGAGGAGGAGGAGACGGATGAGGAAGATGATGGGGATGAGGCGGAGGAGGAAGTCGACGAGGAGGACGAGGAGGAGGACGAAGAGGAGAAGGAGGAGGAGGGGGAAGAGGAGGAGGAGGAGGAGGCGGAGGAGGAGGAGGAGGAGAATGAGAGGGGAGGAGGGACGAGGAAGAGGAGGAGGAGGGGGAGAAGGAGGAGGAAGAGGAAAACGAGGAGGAGGAGGTGGAGGAGGAGGAGGGATGAGGATGAGGAGGAGGCGGAGGAGGAGGAGGAGGAGGAGGAGGAGGAGGAGGAGGAGGAGGAGGAGGAGGAGGAGAGGGGAGGCTGGAGGAGGAGGAGGAGGAGAAAGACGAGAAGGAAGAAGAGGTCCACTGCAAGACCCGCCCTCCCCTGGAAAAGGAACACCCCATGGGCCTCCCATTCTGGCGGGAGCTCCGTCCGGACAAGGAGCTGCCTTGCAACCCTTCTGGTGAGTCAGAAGACATTCGCTTCCAGCGAGAGCCATGCTTTGAAACGAAGCTGCCTCGCCACCCTTGCACCACATTGTTGCACGTCTGGCCATGGAGTGTGAGGAAGCCTAGCACAGACACGCCACTGTGAAAAAGAAGCCGCCCCTTCCTCGGTGCAATTGCTGAATCGCTTTGATGTGCTGGTCGCTACATACGCAAGGCGGTGATTTCCGGCAAAACGAGGAGCCGTCCTCCATCCTTGTAGCTGCTGCAACCTGTTAGGACGATTGTGGACGGAACCATGGCGAGAGCCCCATTTTGAAAATGCCCCCCCTCAATCGTTGTAGCTGGTGTGATATTGTACGACGACCGTTCGCGTTGCCAAACGATGGCTCCATTTGAAAATCACCTCCCTCCATCCGTGTAGCTGTTCCAAGTTTCAAGCTTCAGGAGCATACATGGTGAGGAAGTTTATGACGACACGCTGGACACGCCCTTTCGACACGTGTGGGGTGGGCGGCAGGGAGAAGATCCCTTTGAGGAAAGGGATGCGGGAGGAGGACGAGAAGGTTAAGGAGAAGGAGGGAGGGGAGACTATGGGAGGAGGGAGGGAGGGCGGCTGAGGGAGGAGGACGAGTAGGATGATGAGTAGGATGAGGATGGGAAAACGTGTAAGGAGGAGGGGAAGGTGGAGAAGAAGGAAGGGGAGCGAGGATGGAGAGAAGGGACCAGGAGGAGGAGGAGGAGGAAGAGGGCCATGAGGGAGGAGGAGGAGGAGGAGGAGGAGGAGGAGGAGGAGGAGGAGGAGGAGGAGGAGAAGGAGGAAGAGGAGGAGGAGGAGGAGGAGGAGGAGGAGGAGGAGGAGGAGGGAGGAGGAGGAGGAGGAGGAGGAGGAGGAGGAGGTGGAGGAGGGAGGCGGAAGAGGAGTCAAGGGATGCGGACGACGAGGAGGACGATGACGAGTAGGAGGAGCACAGAGGATGGCGAGAGCGGCAGGAGGGCGAGACTGGACAGCCCGCGGCCTCAATGAGCAGCTGCAGCGCTCCGGTGTTGCCGACCTGAGGCGGGGCGGAGGCGAGAGATGACGACGCCGTGGTCGACGTCGGCGTCGTCGTCTCGGAGGTCTCCACCAGTGCTTGAAGGCCTTCTCGCCTCGGGATGCTCTCGTCACAAGCTGCAGCTCGCCGAGAGAGCTCCAGCGGGGCAGTGCAACTGCCCGACCAGCGGGCAGGCGAGTGGCGAGCGCGCCCCATCCCGCGC